CACCGCCTTCTAGGGGCCTGAAAGGAAAAGTGGGGAAGGGACCACTTGGCCCAAATGGTAAACTATCTTAATAGAGTGTGGGAGCGAGCACTGTCCCCAGTCCCCTCCAGTTGGAGGCCAGAGAGGAAGGTTGTGAGGATAAGAGCTGTGGGCAGGGCATGTGGCCCAAGAGAATTCTCAATACAAAATTTCTACTCAATAAGACCTGTCTGAGACTCAGTAGTACCATTCCTCCTGGCTGAGTAGTAGCCAATGAACATTATAAGTAGGAGACTGTTTTCTTTACTGAGGTGGACATAGCCACAGGCCCCTCGAAATCCATCTCTAATGAAAGGGAAGCGGGGCTACCGTCCTAAGGACTAGCCAAGCCCTCAGTGACATCACCGGTCCTGCTAGCCACCACTAGTCCATCCTAAATAATACAGGCCCTTGACTCAAAGGGGAGGACAGTCAGGAGGCCCAGAAGCTGCTGCTATAGCTACTACTTGGTTTCCAGAAAAGCGATGCAGAAGAAAACTCTTAAATAGCTCTGGGAGCCCTGCTCACTTTTCCAGACACTCATCGTCCTCAGGACTAGCCAGTCCGGCCTGCCCAGAGACTCAGTCGGCAGAATCGCTATTGCTTAGCCCCAAAAGACCAGAGACCTGGCCTCCAGTCTCCCTTTTGTCTCCTAATTTGCTGTGTGACCTTGGGAACGTCTCCTAGCACCACTGGGCCCCAGCTGCCTTATCTAACACAACAATAATCAAAAATCGGGCCCAGACAAGCTCTATGAACCACAGCCCTCTTAGTGTCCCCAGTGCTGTGGTCAGGCTGAGCTGCTCTCTCTCAGGCAGCATGGGAGCTCTCTCAACATACCCAGAGGGGCCCTGGGCCCACAGATTTAGCTACTCAGGGAAAGTTGCTCCTCAAGGACTCTGAGTTTGTCAAGCGTGTACTGTCTGCTTAGCACAATGACCAGCACTGGTGGCCTGGCAGAGTAGTAGACTCACCGTGCTTATGATGACTCCTACTCCAAGCAGTAGAAGAAAGATTGCAAAGAATCCACATTCAAGAATGCTCCCAACCTTGTGTTTAACAGGAATGGAAGGGCTTGTGTTTGGAAAGACTGAGGTTCGTGCTTTGAGGGTGTGGTCTCTGCATGGAACTGGGAGTCAGAGCCCAGGATCTTCCTCGAGCCTCCTTGAGAGCTATCTTGGGCCGTGGCACAGAGCCACCCTGCTCTCCTGCCCTTTTTTCAAATGCAGAACCCTCTGGAATCCCTATCAGGAAGCAGAAAGAGATCCAGGAATAGACAATGCACAGGACTTCCTGCT